CCGCGAATTTTATTTTTAGTTTTTTTTTAGAAATAATTTTTAAAAAAAACAAAAATTTTTATGTTTTTTTTTTTTTTTTTTTTTTTTTTTTTTGTCCTTGCTGCTAAGGTACAAACAAGTTATGATTTCCAAATAATTCAAATTTAGACTCATCTGCACAAACAGCCTTAATCCAGAGGTCCTGATTTCTTTTCCAACATCTCTTCTTCCAAGCGTTATCGTTTTCTTCGAGAGCTAAAGTTTCCTCCGCACATCCAGTGAAAGTTATACTAGTGAATTTCTGATTCTACAGTTAAATCAACAATAACAAGGGAGATTTGGGAGACCTGTTTACGAGTCCCGCAGTCTGCTTTCAGTTAAAACCTCCTTGAACGGTGAGAACTTGGTGTGTCTGCAATTATTTCAAACGCTTACCTTCTGTCAAGGGGGAATACTGGATTTGAAGTCCTTTTGACGCCTTTTAAAATCCCTTATTAGACTCGTAAACTGCTACAATCTTCTTTCTGTGGTCCCAGACAGCTACCTCGGCTTTACTACCATGTTCACTCTGACTTCAGCAGACGGAAGCTTATCAAACTTTATCGTTTATCACAAACAATAATATCAAAGGGCTCTTATCTGACTTGGTGTGCATGTTACCAGCCCCTCCGGCGATGTCACCCAGCTGTCCAGGTTTTTGTACTTTCCTGTCTTTGTGCGTTTGCTGCTTTTGTCAAAGTGTAAGAGGCCAAAGAAAAGCAGTGATGCATACTGTGTCATCTCCTCCTTTCTGCTTTATTCTTGCCCTGCCTGGCACTTCTCTCTGTCCTTTCCTTTTCTTCTTGTGCCTTCGCATCAACCGTTGCCCTCCTTCACATACCTCTCATCCTTACTCCTGTTTCATTTGGTGAGGCAGCTGTGATGGAGGAGGATCTACCAGAAGGCAGCTACATGTTTAGAAATGTGGATGTGGTGTGGATGATGTGACTTTTGTTACAGGTTTTTCACTTGAGTCTGTAAAAAAAAAAGTTTTTTGGTTGTGTTTTTTTTTTCTTTTCTTTTTTGTTGTTGTTTTTTTTTTTTTTTAGATTAATTTAGGTTCAGGTTAAGTTTGTGAGTGAACTGAACGAATTAGCGTCACCTCAGGCTGTCGGGTCGGATCATTCTGTGAAACTGTGCCAGAGTTATCAGCCTCCTTCCTTTCTGTTCGAGCTATGTGGGACGGCCGGATCAAACCGAGGAAGATAAAATCCAGCTCTTCTGCTCGGAGGAAGCCTCTCCTCTCTGCCTCCTCGTCCTCTCCGGCTTCTCCCTCCGTCCCTGTCCCGCCTCCTTTCCATGTGTCCCCCCCATTTCTGCCTTCTCCTGTTTGTCCTCCATCATCACGCCATCCCTCATTCCCTTCTTCTCCGTCCGTCCCTGTCCCTTCGCCTCCTCCCAGACGCCACTCCATCCATCCCGTCCCCACGACCTCGTCCTGTCCTCCACACTCTCCTTCTTTCGTCGTCATTTCTTCGGCCCATCCTTCCCACCGATCCACTCTCCACCACTCCCCGTCCTCCCCACTTCCCGCACCACGGCCCACGCCAGCCATCCAGCCCTGCCGCCATCCCGTTCCGTCAGCCGCCATCGCCTCCTCTCCCGCCCCGCGATCGTCTCCTTCCTCTGTCTTTCCTTCCTTTCATCCCGCCGTGTCTTCCTGCTTGTCCTCTGCTGACCGTCGTGGCGTTTGTGTCTCTCAGGAGCTTCACAGGAGATACGAAGCAGCGCCAGAATCGACGAAGACCAAGGCCCTGCAGACTGTTATTGAAATGAAGGTAAGCATCTTGGTGACATTTTAATTTCTGATACTTGTAGTACACTTGTGCAGATTTAGAGTTTAGTCTGGTGGCTCTTGAATGATGAAAACCCAATAAAACAACAGGTGTTGTGAAATAAGTTGATTGTTTGGATTAATCCTTACAAATATCCTCTAATTTAACATTTATTCTGACTACAACAACTGAAGAGCAGCAGTAACACGGTTGCATTGCGCGCGATTAAACTTTTCTGGAGCATGTTTTGATTCAGTTCCAGTTTTCTTCAGTTCACATCTGTCATCGGTTACATTTAATCTCTTTAACCTGAAAGAAATTATGGTCCCGGCAGGAGTTCCTGATTTGCATCCTCTGGCCTCAGTCACGGTTGGCAGAGTGGTTACAATGGATCAGGAGGATCTCATTGTTGGAGAAGGGTACCAAAACAATAAATTACGCTTGAAATCTGAAAACCATTTGAACAATAGATCTGTATCCAAAATATTTTAAATAAAAACTAGACGGAGAAGCTGCGAAGAGGTCGACTGCATCACTGAAGAAGCTGCAGGAATTTCTGCAAAGTTGAAGAGAGAGTGGCTTTTATTGAGGTGGATGAAATTATGAGCAGTCAGTTTGAGCCAAACAGCTAAAAAGCTAAAGATGAAAATGGATTGCATGTTTCAGCAAGAAAAAAAAAGAAGAAGTTTTTCAAAAGGTCTAGTCGAAACCATACCTAAGAGAAAATCTGTGGCGGTACAGTTAAAAACGTAAGGAAGCAACAGCAGCAATAGACATTAATCACGTTTGATCAAACTTGTAAGTAACCCGTTTATGAACGAATTTGTCAGGATGCAAAGATCAGCTCCATGGAGCGCGGCATGAGGGAGCTGGAGGAGGAGGTGATGATGCTGAAGTCCAACGGCGCTCTGAGCAGCGAGGAGAGGGAGGAGGAGATCAAACAGATGGAGGTCTACAGATCCCACTCCAAGTTTATGAAGAACAAGGTGATCAATGCACTGAGCAACACACCCATTACCCACAACACCTAGGCTTCCCCCTGGTGTGAATCTTCAGGATCTTTACATCAGTTTGTATTATCTGTTAGGGGATACAGGTTTGCTTTAACTTAACATAACGCATAAAATGTTCTCAGTGAATTTAATAAAAGCATGGTTTTTAAAAAAGTGTTATTTGATTTACTGGGTTTTATACATTCAGACTACATATTTCAGTTTCCCCAGTAGTCTCCCTTTACTAAAAAATGTGTTTAATTTCCACTGCGACGTGTTTTTTTTTTTTTTTTTCCCCCCCGCTGCTGCTTATGACATTTACACACTCGCCGGCGGACATGCTGGGCATCGCAATCAGGCCTCTTCCTCACATCTCCGTCTCCCTCTGCTGAGATGTGAGGAAGGAGAACAGGTTTAAGGAAAACTGGAGGCCTCCCCCTGTGTTGACCCCTTCCTCTCCTGCCAGGTTGAACAGCTGAAGGAAGAGCTAACTCACAGCCAATCAGAGAAGGAGGAGCTAAGGCAGCGAGCCAATGAGCTTCAGCAGGAGGTGTCTGCAGTAAGAGAAGCACCTCTGTGTCCGCTTTCCTTCTTTCCTCCCTTCCTTCCTTCATCTCTTACAGGCTGAAGCTTAAGTAGCGTCTATCAGTAGAACCCCAGCCTGCTGGGCTTGTAGCGTTTCATTTCAGTTTCTGCACTGTAAGTGGTCTTATAGCTGCTAAAAACGCACTCCTGCAGGTTGCCGCCTCTAACCTGCGCCTCTTTCTTCTTGCATGATCTAGTGGGTCGGTTTGCAGATGAATTGATTTGGTTTTCTAGAACGAAAAGCTTCATGCTTAAAGGTCTGGGTCAGCTCTCCTCAGATGCCTTAAGTGTGAGTTGACATGTCGGGTGAGCTGCTGAAAGAAATGGAGATTATGTCTTTTATTTTAAAATAGCTGCAAATATGAGGAATTATTATTGGATTACCTTAAAATGAATTATTCATCAGTTCCTTTGAAAGTAAGACTTTAAAATCAGAGTGGGCAGCAGAATCGAACCAGACCTTTTCACATGGACTGCTAACATTTTTTTAGTCTGACTTGTGTTTCTAATTTTTGTTTGCTTTTCAGCAGAGAACTTGGAAAACCAGGACAATAAATGCACTTCTTTTTGTACCAGTAACATATTTAACTTGTATATCATCTCACTTAGTAGATCTTATTTCTTCCAGTGAGATTTTTACACTAGTTTTTGTGTGTGCAATAGTTCAAGTTGTTGCACGTATACCACTGAAAGAACTCTCCGCTCTACTGGTTTACTTGCACTCATCATCAGTTTTAATGCCATCTTGATTTTGGTCTACTAATAATTCATTTAAGCTGTGTTTTTTTTCAATCGCAATTGAAACGGTGTAATTGAGGCTGCTGGATTTATCATAGCAACACTTTTGAAATTTTATTCACTGTGCATGTCCAGAAACTTGCCTGTTGCAATTACCATTATTATTTATCATGAGAAGAGCAGGAGAAAGAGGGAAAAAAAAGGCAGAAAAGATCATTTCTGATGAAAGAAAACCAACAACACTCAGAAATGCTCCACCTAATTTTCAATAATTCGTTGAAGTCGTTTGCTACATAACAAGCGCATTTAAGATAACGAATGGTACAAATGCATCATTAAAAAACTGAATCTGTCTGAAATGCTTGCAGTGAGTTTCAACAGGGATATAAACCAAAGAAGAAGGGCATGCTTTCGTCTACGGCACACATTCAGATGTTTTGTCCTTCCTGCGCGTTTCTCAGATGGAGCAGGCGAAACAGGAGCTGAGTCGCAAAGACAGCGAGCTGCTAGCTCTCAGGACCAAACTGGAGACTCTGAACAACCAGTTTTCTGACAGCAAGCAACACGTGGACGTACTCAAGGAGTCGCTCACTGCCAAGGAACAGAGAGCTGCCATACTGCAGACCGAGGTAAACCTGCTCCCCTCCACCCCCCGCTTATCGCCGTTATTTGCTCCAAGCGTTTATTTCCGCTCGCTTGCTCTTCTTCGTGCGCTCAGGTGGACGCCTTGCGTCTTCGCCTGGAAGAGAAGGAGTCTCTGCTCTCGAAAAAGAGCCAGCAGATGTCGGAGCTGACGGAGGAGAAAAGCACCCAGCAGGGGGAGATCACGGACCTCAAAGACATGCTGGATGTCAAGGAGCGCAAAGTGAACGTGTTGCAGAAAAAGGTGGGAAGCTTCATCGTTTGCGTCCCGCTAATGTTTAAACTCTGATGTTTTAAGTGCAGTTTCAGTCAGAAGTTTATCAACGGCGTCGAACTAGCTGTTCTTTCTCCATGGTCAAATGATAACGCAAAGTGCATCTTTCTTGCATTTTAAAGACAAGGCTTGGAATTACTATTGATTTTCTCAGAATTATACATTTCAACCAGTACTACTTGGAAGTCCCTCAGCAAGTTGCAGCGAAATGACTCAATCTTTGCAGCCCTCAGCGAGCCTTTTCCATAATTCTCGCTGGACATTTGACCGCTTTTCTTCTCAGAATCGAAAGATGTAATTTAAATTCCTTGGTTTCCTTTCTCATTGTTGACTTTGAAACATAACCCCATACATTGCAGCCTTGACATCAGTAGAATCAAGGTTGAGGTCATTCCAGAAGCATAATGTTAGGCTGCTTTCTACAACTGTATAAATGTGTTTTAATGTATTCCTGGGTATTAGACGTCTAAACAGTGGAGAAAATGGAGCAACTTTTAACGCTGTTTTTCAAAGTAAAGAACTTGTGAGTTGCTGTTTATCCGCTAAATTTAAACAGTTTCACTCACTGCGTGAGACAGTATCAGAAAGCTAGCCTTTGTGGACAGCTTATAGGTTTTTTTCTAAATTAAAAATATTTGAAAGTTTTTAATTGTGAGGTTTTTTCATGCTACTAGAAATTTTTTTTTTTTTTTTTCTTCCCTGAAAATAAGATGCAATGCATAATGTTGGCCACTAGATGGAGGTGTAGGACAGAACATAGTTTGGACGTTTGCCCAAGGATCTCTGTGGGAATCTTGATAGTCATTCATAATACACAAATATATAAAATATACAAACATATATTATTTAGGACAGTGGATGAGACAAGTTTTGGAAAACGAGATCCTGTTTACATTTTTGTGTTTCCTTTAAAAGCCTCTCCATTTCCCACCAACTCTCCTTTTTTTTTCTTTTTTTTTTTTCCACCTGTGCCCCCCGCTTTCTCTTGCAGAAGAATATGTCAAAGTAGAAAATGTGCACAGCTTAATCAATAGGGAAAATCAAGTCGGCAGACATAAAGCAGGGACAGGGAGGGGGAGGAGAGAGACATGGTGTGTTTAAAATCCGATGCATACTAATGACTTCCTCTTGTTTAATAAATGATGACCTCTGCTGTCTTCAAATAGAATACAGTTCCGAGTCGGAGAAAGAGAGAGAAACGGCGCTGCTTTCTGCTCCTTGATTTCCACATTTCCTCCCTCTATTCCTGCGCTCAGTTTTCATATCTCCCACCCCGTTCCTACGTTTTAACTTCTCTGTTCTCGTGAGTAAATTACCACGAACCTGCAGCTGATTAGCAGCGAAGATAACCGTGTGATCTCCCATCTCCTCGGGACTGAAATAGAACGAGCAGAACGCGCAGACGGCGTTTCTATATGTATATAAGCGCGACGCTCGTGTGCTGTCGAGATCAAAGAGTCACATGGCCTCTCACTGTCAACAGCGAGGGCTCCTCTCTCTCTGTGTGTGTGTGTGTGTGTGTGTGTGTGTGTGTGTGTGCGTGCGTGCGCGTGCAGGAGTGTGAGAAGGAGGAGGAGGAGGAGGAAGATGTGTCAGTCAAGCTGTCAGGTTAACTGTTGATTAATGAGGTGCTGGAAATATTTTATTGTATTCCACACACACACACACACACACGCTTGCTCTTTTCTCTGGTACTGGAAACGTGCATCTCTCACCTGCAAAGAAGTCAAAGGTTGCACATCGGGGTGACTATTTTTTCCCTCCTTTTTTTTGAGTCAGTTGTTTATGATAAAAGACAATTAGAAATGAAAACAGAATTTTTGCACATCTGCCACTTTTATTTACATGTAATATGACATCACATAAACTACATAATGTTTTTTTTTTCCTTAATGTTGCACCTTTTGCTCATTATCAGTGTTTGTGTTGGTCCCAATAAAATACATTGAAGGTTTTGCTTCTAACAGGACAAAATGTTGAAATTTCAAAGGCTATGAATCCTTTTGGCCATTTATTGTATTTTTTCAGCTAGACTGTATCTGGTAGTTTGGTGTTTTAGGGCAAAATCAATCTTTCACCAAATCAAAATTACAATATACAGGAAAATTGGTTGAGAAGGGAGAGAGTGGAGGGAAAGAGCTTGAGGGTTAAAAGAAGCAAAGCGTTGTATGAAACACTAGTTCTCTGCCTTTTTCGTTCACCTGAAGCTTTCAACAAGAATCAGTTCTTTTTTATGTCAGAGATTTTTATGTCAGCAATTCATTTTTTTATTGAGAAAATGAATTGCTTTTACGATGAATTTGAGAGGATAGGAGAAAAGAAACAAAAAGAAGTGAAAGTTGCAATAAAAATAAGCTTTACTTTATTTTTTTTTAGCTTACAGTTCAGTGCATTGCCTTATCTTCTCTTTAGGTAGTGAAACAAAAATAAACTGTAGACGCAGCCCCTTTTTTTGGAGATGGGGATAGTTGTGGGCAGCAAGGATCTCCTGTAGCAGTCTGTGTTGCAGCACATTTGAATCTTAAGAGAATTTAATTGACTTTATATCAAAAGTCTGGCTGGTAGTTTTAAATATATATTCAAATCTGTTGATTTTTTTCATTCAATTCAAATTCAAAAAGCATTCAAGTTAGATATTTAGTACATTTCTAACTGATAGTATACAAATTAGCAATAAGATAGGACAATATGGCAAATTTTCCATAGCTGGAACGGACAATGACTTTTTGTCGAGGTCGTAAAATGCACAAGTGAGCTGAGCAAATATTACAATCTGGTCTAATAAGTAAACTTAGCATAAGGTTTAGTTAGTTGTTCAAATGTTAAAACTATGCTATTTACCTTATTAGCATAGTCCTAGTAGCTAGTGTACAAGTTCCCTAAAACAAACTATGCTAGCTTGGCTAATTTATTTTTTGTGATACAAAAAAAAAAAACAACAACACAATTCTTATGAATAAAACACAAACTACTGTTTATTATAGCGTAGCTTAATTAGTTTGTGAAATTTAGCCACATTAGCTTATGATGTAATTCTTGCTAATGCTACTTTAGCTCCTGTGATTTACTTTGGAAACTCTCAGAGCTTCAACACATGCCATCAGAATATCAAATTTGTTCTTTTTTGAAATTTATTTACATAAGAGAAAAAAAAAAAAAAAAAAAACATGTTACGTTTTTTTGTCTGATGAATGGAGGCATAAAACTTCATTTTTCAATTAGACATGTCAGTTTGTGTAATTTGCTGGTAACATTCTTCACTTTAGGAACCCTTGGAGCCCATATACCTGCCAGAAAATATCATTTTTAGCATTCAGTAATGAAATATGCATCAAAACTAAAGCAGCTGATGATTTATTTTTCTTCCCTCCCCTCTACAGATCGAGAACCTCCAGGATCAGCTGCGGGATAAGGAGAAGCAGCTGAGCGGTCTGAAAGACAGAGTCAAGTCTTTGCAGACGGACACGTCAAACACAGACACCGCACTGGGAACGCTGGAGGAAGCTCTGGCTGAGAAAGTACACACACACACACACACACACACAAAGATGCACGTACACGAATACATGAACACCCACCGCTGGTCAGCCTCGGGTCAGCGCCCGAGCAAGGTTACATTAATAAAAGCTTTATGAGCAAAACCACCGACCACCCACATGTTGACCCGGTGACTCGGAATAAATGGAAATACACCGATAATTACACGAGCTGTCATTTTATTAAATTATTCACAGGCTGTTTTTGTAAAACACAAGGAGCCGACAGGCACGGAGCCACATGGCTCAGATTTACTCATTGATCACTGTTTATGTGTGAACATTCAGGTTCAAGACGATACTGCAGCACCGGATTTATGACTCTGCAGGCAGCTTTTTCAGGGGATTTGACTTTAACTCTCAGAAACCAAAATCTGTTATGTTTTAGCTTTCCTTTTAATGCTCTTACAGATTATTAGGTTATAAACTCGATCTTTTTGAGGCTTTCACACACACACGCAGGAAGCAGGTTTGGAATTGACCAGTGACTTATACACACGGTGTCGGCGAGGTGTGTGATTGTTGGCAGGATGTCGGAGCTCACACACTCCCGCTTCTTCCCTTTTTCTTTTCTTTCCGTTCCTTCCCTGCTTTCTGAAATACCCTGTTTTTCAGCTCAAGCCTTTCGACATTTCTTCCCTTACCTTCGTTTATGCGCGCACTCTGGGTTCTTGCATCATTTGTTTTTGTTTTTTTTGTTTTTTTTAAAGGTGCGCGAACTTTTGTGCTTTTTCTTTAAACTGGCCACTGAGTTGTTCTGCAGCTATAGAGGTCAGCTTTTCTGTTTTAGTGCTTGCGAATTTTACGTCTTGCGCCAAAACACATTACGTGTGTAAAATCACCGTTGGCTGTTAGATCCTGTCAAAGCTGCCATGTACATAAAGTTTAATGTGACACTTATTAGTACAGAAACTTGATATTGAGTGACTGTGAATGCGTCCTGGACAGTATGAGGTGTTTTATTCTCTTTTTCTCGTTTTTCACGGCCCCTTCACATTGTCCGCTTTCCTCCTCCTGTCTTTTGTAACTTAGCTCCGTTTCTGCTTTCCTTCCTCGTCTTTATTCAGGAGCGGATTATCGAGCGGCTGAAGGAGCAGCGAGAAAAGGAGGAGAGAGAAAAGGGAGACGAGATGGAGACCAGCAAGAAGGAGCTGAAGGAGTTGAGAGAAAAAGTCTCTCTGCTCCAGGCTGAGCTGGCTGATCGCGAGGTACGGTCACCGCAAACATGTTGATTGTGGTCAGAAAACATCAGAAGATATGCTATTAGTTTTCCCACGAACCTATTTGATATGCCACAGGACAAAGAAGTAGAATCCCATTTAAATGTAGGTAATTCACAGGCCACAGCTAATGGAAACAATAATCTGAGCTGATTTTTTTTTTTTCCCCAATAACGACTTTGTGAGCTAGGCAAGACTGCAGAACAGAGCCAGAGGAATACAAGAAGAGCGACAAAGCATTTTCTGGCTCCCTTTTCTTCTCTTTCACCCTACAGCTGCTGGGCAGCACAGCAGGAAAGTTATGGCTAACTGAAACCACAATTAATTAGAATGATTAGATTTCCAGGAGTCTTAGTTTTATTAGTGGATAATAAGGCTCAACATACCACAAGTAAGTAGTTAATCTGGAAATGCATGAGGGAATTCATTGATGAGATGGACATTAATGCGCTCCAAAGATAGAAGCGTGGATTTGAAACTGTATAACTAACTAAAGCAACGAGAAAAATAAAATATACCTTTCAATTGTAGGTCGTGAGGAAATAACAGGGACTCTGCGAGGCTCTAAAATTATTTGAATGTAACCTGTGCAAGCGCTGATAAAAGCAAACACAGGTTAGAAAACTGTGCTAGTCGCGGCGCAAGGGGAGGACAACGGGAAAGTCACGTAAAGCTCGAGGCAGAATCAGTGGCAATATTTTCTTTCTTTCACCTTTCTTGCATTTAGTTGTGTCAAATGTACTCGTTTTCTCTTGTTCGCTGAAAATTAAAATGAGTCGACAAAATCGCAGCTGTCAGATTTTGCTTTTGAAGAGTCACCGAGAGAGAGCCGCCGCTGTGAAAAGTCCTTTTTAAGCTAATTTTAGCAATCGCGGGGAATCAGAAAACCTCTCTGTTTGTGTCATAAAGTACACAGAAAATCTCCCAAGAGAACAAGCATTCCTTTCTTGGCTGCCAAACGCCGACGTGAGGTTTGTCCTACAACACCAGTGTATACACAGACCTAAATATACTCTGAGTAAGCAGGAAGGTTTCTCTGACCAAAGCCCAGTCAAACATGATGATCTGAAGTCTGAAGTTGGTAAGGTCAGTCATGGGTGAAATTACACGTCTGAGCATCTCTCCTTCTGGTCCTGCTGGTTTCTGTTTCACTGCCTCCACCAAAAGAGGAGAAAAAAAAAAGAAAAAAGAAAACGAGAAAGGAACAGGAGAGGGGGAGATTTTTTACGGATGGAGGGATTGAGCCTAAAAGTGAGAAAAGAGACAGGTCATGGGAAATATTACAACCAGCAGGGGACAGAGTTAATCATACGAGTGTGGAAAAAGGATAAATCCACTTTGAGCCACTTGGCTTCAGGCTAAAGGGGCAAGACAGACCCTGGCCGTGTCACAGAAATCAGACAACTACTGCACGGTCACACAACTTCGAAAAACCAATCAGCCTTGCATGCATAGCTGAGGACCGTGAGAGGAAACTGGAGCACCTGGAGAAAATCCATCCTGCAGCAAACAAAGCATGCAAATTTCACACAGAAAGGCCTCAGCTATTGTTCCACAGAGGAACAATCTCGTTGAGAGACGCTGCCAGGAAATATGCAGGTTGTGATATTTTTATAAGCTGAAATACTTCCGGCCTTAAATCATTTTTTTTATTTTTTTTATCAGTTTTACTACTAGCTCTTAAATGCAAATGCATACATAATAGATGAGGTAGTAAAATAACTGTTTTCACTTTTTGTTGTGTTGCAAACACTTGAGTATGTTTCATCGAGACTTTTAGTGACGCAGCCGCATCACAAATATCTAGGAACACATCGGATAGAGCGAGCAGAGTTTGGGTCTAAAATATTGTCCCAGGCTTTATACATGTGACTAATCGATGTTTAGTTTGTCATCTGAAGAGTGGAAGGAGTTTGTCGGCATCTTACTGGAGGAAATGCTTTACTTCTGCAGAGACAAGGAAACTGGGCAGAGCTGAACTCAGAAAACCATTTTGATTCCTTAAAAAGACTGAAACTGTGGACTTTTGTAAATTACTTCTGTAATTTATAAAACGTTGACTCCGCCTGGGCGAATACTAATCTGCACCAGTTTCATTAAATACTTGGGAAAACCACATATCCCCTCCCCCCTACCCCCCTCACTTCCCAATTATGAACTTCTTTGAACTTATGTGCTTCTACTGACACAAATAAAATACATTAAAGCTTGAAGCCTTAACACAACAAAAATATGGAAATGTTCAAGGGGAATCAATTCTTGGTCGGCAAGCTTAAGATGCCTTACTTTGATGTTGAGAATAGAAATGTTCTCGTTATTGGAACAATTTCAAGGACATGTTTAATCTGTAAAAACAGTTTCATCCTAACAAATGTACAAGTAGAAGAAATTTCCTTTAGGATTTCAGATTTCCTGTTGACAAAGTGTTCGTCCTGGTCACTATTTCACTGCAGACGTCGGTGTTGGACCTGAAGGAGAAGGCCTCCTCGCTCGCATCCTCGACTCTAAAGAAGGAGAACAGGCTGAAAAGTCTGGAAATCAACCTGGAACAGAAAAAGGAAGAGTGCATCAAACTGGAGAACCAGCTCAAAAAGGTCTGCGGATGCTGTCCTAATAATGAAAGAGGATAAAGTTGCAGTTTTCTTTCCTAACTTATTTTCCCTTATTTCAGAGAAAGAGATGAAAACTTGTTTGTATGCGTGTGTGTGTGTGTGCGTGCGTGCGTGCGCCTGCATAACAGATATCTTTTCCCTCACAGCAGTCTGTAAAATGTGTGTGTGTGACAGCCTGCTGAAAGCCTTACAGTCATTTTCACAGACTCTAGAAGACAACACCACCATCACACCCTGAATGTGTTTGGCTGCGTGCGTATGTGTGTGTGTGTGTGAGAACATGTGAAAAAAATGTGAGAAACAGAGAAAAGAGGAATATGTATGAACGTGTCAGTGCATCTGTGGTGTTTCCCCTCATCAGCCTTTATTTCTCAGTTTCTTTCTTTTCCACACAATGGTCGGAGAAAAGACGCGTGACTTTCCGCCGTATTTCTTTCCGCCACAAAGATCTCCGTATATCACCAGCCACCCAAACATTTCCTCTCCACGTAAGGAGCTGTTAAAATCGCCGTCCACTTCCAAAACTAATAGGGGTTTATGTATTGTGGGACCAAGACGTGCACACACACACACACACACACACATAACGTCAATCTGTCCCAAGAGCAACATTTACTTCTGGGAAAACACACAGCTGTTCTAACCTCTAAGCTGGTTATAACCTGTTTTATTTTTCTTTGTTTTATCTATTTTTTATTTTTTTTTTTTCCCCTTGCAACCAATTTTCTGTTCCATCAGCTCGGCCGAGCCAAAAGAAAGACAAAAACCACTTCGACTGGCTATAATTTGCCCGTTGAATTGAGCGGTATTACCACGTCCATGACAATTAAAATAAAAAAACACATGCCGGGGTTTCAGCTTGAACTTAGCCCAGCTAAAAGACACAAACAATATTTCAGACTTGAATACGGCAACCCTACACAGTCGTTGGCTGTGGAGGATGTGGAGTCCTACTGAAGAAGATAAAAAAAAAAAAAAGATATTCCTGTAAAACACTCACTCTGAAAAAATGTCGAAAACTTGGAACATTTAGCAAGAGTTTGTTTTTTTTTAATAAATCATTCGTAATCGTTGCCCCTCAAACAATAATTAATGGAAGCTTAATGCTGCAGCTGTGACGTTCATAAGAAAAGAAGACCAGACTTGTTCAGTACAAAACGCGTTTTTGAATATTTGTAGATTTTGCTTAAAATCCAGAATACGGTTTATGGGGGGAGGGTGCTTATTTGCTGTATTATCTTTCCACTGTTAAAAAACCCAGTCCAAATGTATCCTTAAACAGCCAAAAAAATGTAACATAAAATAGGGCATTCACGGTGAGTGTTTTTTTAAACATCACCCGCCTCCCTCTGTGCTCTGATGAGAACATAGGAGCAGCACGGCCGCTCATTTGTTATAATTTTTTTTATTTTTCTTATTTGTGGCTCCATTAGCCCCCTGAGGATGTATATTTTTCACCTCCCGGCACGTCGGGCCAAGCACATTCATTCTGCGCCGAATGTTTTGATCCGCTCGTTTCGAAAGCCAATCCTCCGTTTATTTTTAATAGCAGTTTCTGTTCCAGGCTCAAAGCGCGGCAGCGGAGTCGCAGGCCAACGCTGAACTTACCGAACGCATCTCGTCCCTGGAGCAGGAAGTGACCCGGTGTAGAGAGGAGGCCGGGAAGGCCCAGTCTGAGGTGGAGCGACTCCTGGAGATCCTCAGGGAGATGGAAAATGAAAAGAACGACAAGGAGAAAAAGATCCATGAACTGGAGAGGTAAGAGAGAGGAATTAGATTAGGTACAAAAACAAAATAAATTCCTTTTTCCCCCCCTCACCCCCCCCACCAACATGGATCTAAAACGTTTTCCTTCCTGTTCCAAAATAGAAGTCTGAAGAAAAAAAACTGGCTAATTTTAAGAAAAAACGTAGTTTTCCATTCACTCCTCATCTGCTCAGTTTCAGCCAACACAATGCCAGAGTTCAGGTTAAACATCTCGGTCTGAATAACTCATTATTTATCACTCACCACCTTCTTTTTCCCTTTTCCCTTTTCTCCTTCCCTTTTCATGCCATCTTTCAACTCTTCCCATGTGTGTGTTTGCACTTGTTAACAATCGTGCAACTTTGAATGTGTGCGAGCGATTACATTTGCTTGTGTGTGTGTGTGTGCGTGCGTCCGCTCATTTCACCTCAGAAATCCGTCAGCCTCTCATCTGTGGCAGTCGCAAAAGCAGGCCCCTCCCCCCGCTGCCTCTCAGCAGCCAATGGGGGGGCTGGTGTGGGACTACCTGGGCACGTGAGTGGCTGGTGGCCCGTGTCAGTTAGCTTGAGACTACTGCACGCTAAAACTCACTTTGCCTGTCAAGGGATCGGATACAAAGGCACGAAAATAACAATCCCCCATGTGGAAAAGTGACATAAGTAACACAAGTTATGATCTTGCAAAACGCCACATGTTTAACTTTAGAGCATTTTGTCACTTTACAGGCCACACGCGTCAATGCATTTTGCTGGGATTTTGTCTCTACCAGCTTTGCAAGTCTAGTGGTGAATACATTTTCACCCATTCTTCTCTGGAGGTTGGATTATATATATATATATAATCACATAATAGCCCAATAAAGTGTGTTGGAGTTTGTGGTTTAATGCAACAAAATGTGAAAAAGTTCAGGCCTGTGAATACTTTTGCAGGCAATTGTGAATGATTTATCTGCAAAATCATTCTGTGACTTTATCTCAAACTTTTATCGTTTTAATCAACTAAGGTTAAGCTGGCTGCAATTTATTATAAGCTGCGTAAATTTTCAAAAACACAGTCTAAGGGGATATATACGTCTTTTCCACATGGGCAGGGCTCAGTGCGCTCACTAATAACCAACAAAGAGTTGTAGCATTGGCTCGCTGCTAAGAAATCATTATTTTATTGCATATTTGGACAGTTATGTCTCTCAAATCCAGAAATTGGACTCACTTGTACTCTGACACACACCACACATTAGCAGAGGTTTGGGTCGTCTGTTACTGCGGCATGACAAGCCAAGCGGCTCCTAAGAGTTTGTAAAATGAGGCACAGCCTGGCACCGCTGCTGCTGCACGGCCTGACACTCTTTGAGCCTCTGTACTTGTCAGTGATGCAACTCTTTTTATTTCGTTTTCCGTTCCACTTACATTCAGCTGAGGATGCTTGACTTGCAGAGTTTTAACACATCGTTCTTCTCGTAGGAATCTAAATTGCTCACTAATATTATGTTTTTTTGTTGTTTTTTTTGTTTGTAGCAGCAAACTGCTGTTTCTAACCACTTTCCTACATAATTTTAGACTAGTCACATCTGTAATTTCTTCCAGAGCTCACATTCTCTATTCTGATGTCTTGTCTACGTGTTTCGTCTGTGCATGCCGTCCTAAATCTGTTCTACTTGTGTCCCTGAATATTTCATGGACTATCAGATTTTAGGGTTTCTGATAAGTGGAAAAAGTTGTTTATGGACCCGTTTTCATTCCGTTTCCGTCATGGAAAAAGGAGCAAAATCATCATGGAAAACAAAAACAAAACAAGCAGGATTATTGCGTGTCATGAAGAGTTTGAAAAAGTCGTCCTTCCGTCCCAGAATCACCAGAATCTCTGGAAAGAAAGTGCTGGCAAACATGCATAAGGAATGTGTTTGGACTCTAATTTTATTGGTCTGCTCCTTTTAATATTTAATCTAAGAAATGATCGCTTTTCCCATCTGTATCTGTGTCTTTTGATGTGCTCACCATCCTTGTGATTGTAGGAATGTTATAGGTTATGTTGGTGGGACTCCCTGTCATATCTCTTTGATCATCTCTTTGATGTGACATTCTTCTATCGAACGTTGGCTTATATGGTGTTTAACTGACCCTGTGGGAGAACAGTAAGTCCTAATAAACACCTGGATTTTTAGGTTGTTCGAAAGACAGCCATAGGCAGAGAGAAGCATCTTAATTAAGCATAAAAGAAGATTTAAATACTTTGCTAATGTTCCAACAAAATCACATTGAAGGGGGCTAAAACAACAAACTTCCAGAGAAGAAAAGAGGGCTGCAGCATACTGATTTAATTCACATTCCTCTGAATCCTTCTGAAACCGCTGTGTCTTTATTCTCCAGATTAGGACTCTGATGAAAACACTGCGCTCTGAAAACAATTGTGAGTTTGTCCAATTAAAGCGAATTAACCAGTCAGTTCCACCTCTTTTTTATTCTCTGTTGAGCTAGATTTGCTTTCAGAGCCCTTGCTGTGAGGACTGCTAGGCTTGTAGAGGAATCATCCAGAATTCAAATTTACTGTGACCATTTCTACGCCATCTCACGCAACACTTTCCCATATCTTATAGATTTATCTTCTAATTCAAATACCATTGTTTTAGTTGGTCTACAAGAACCAACTAGCAATTTTTTTTATTTTTATCTCTGACTCCATTTCTTACCTACCAAGTTTATTTGTATTAACACTTTTCAGCAACAAGGCAGTTCCACGATAGAAACATAACACAGTAACCAAATATGAAACAAGCAACAAACGTTACATTTTGACAAACATTACATGCCGACAAAGACGGCTGCAGAGATAACTTGTTCAAAGACAGTTCTCCACAATAGGAATTTTATTTGCATTAGTTACATTTTGTGCAGAATTTTGTTGTCTAAAACTATCCAAGAGTCTTCAGGGTTCCTACATAATATTGACAAATCTGGAATTAGAATGAAAATTTTAATTTTAAAGTTCTTATTTATGTCTAAATATGACCATCATTTGTCTTTGTTTGCCACATTGGACCTTCAGTTTAAATTTGAGTAAATTTAGTTTTGTTTTGTTTTTTTGAAAACCCACAGATACTTTTCAGGTTTTTCTCACTTTAACTGAAAAATTCAATGCATTTTATTTGGATCTTGCAGTATTTTATCAATTGAATTTAGTGCTGAACTTTGACTGGATCTGGTCTTTTGTGACCAGTTCTCCTTCTTTCACATATTTTCAGTGTGCCTAAGACGACTTTAGGTAAATAGAAAATAGAGATTGTTATGCTTTTCTTCACAGAACACCTGAAATTATATTTACTTCTAAAGGCAGTTAATTGAACTAGGTTTATTTGGCTTATCGGAGTCGATAAAATACACATCATGCATGACAAACGTTTTGAAAAATCATGAATCGTTTCTCTTCTACTTCACGTTTATGGTCTACTGTGTTGATCTTCCACCCAAGTTTCTCAAAAACACTTTTTTTTTTTCTCACTCCTTTCACTCTTTCAGTTTTGGCTCATGTAACTGTTGAGCCAAAATGCCTCTATGTATCAACATGTTATCCCAGCAGGATCCTTGCAGGTAAATATATTTTATTCCACAAATAAGCTTCCTTAACTCTTCAGGCCTGACCCAGTAACGCTACATGTACAGATGGGGAATGTATCCGTAGCTTTTCTGGGAATAATGTTGTGTCTTTTTGGGGCTTTTCGCCTGACAGGTAGCTAACAGGTATGTCAGAGAAGAATAGAAACGCCTCTGGCCTGCTCTTAGCCTGGCCAGGCCGGGGCTGACTCCGGGCTCCGGTCGAGCCGCGGGAACAAGTCTAATAAAAAAAAAAAAAGTTCAGCTGCAGTTTAAACACGAGAGCAACAAGAGCAAAAATCAGCCTCTCTCTTCCCCTCTCGTGAAAATCCAGCTGTACTGGTACCAGATTATTTATTTCAGGAACTGGGACGGTAATTGGAGCAGACTAAAGTGACTTCACACTGAGGGGAAATGGAGCTGAAAATCTGCCCCAATGGCCAAAATAAAGGATTTGGAAGGACGAGTGGAAAACAGAGAGAGGGGGGAGCAGCAGGGGAAGTGAAAGAAAGGTGGTAGAGGAAGAAAAACAGAAAAGTCATTTATTAATGGGTGGAGATGCAAGAAACCCAACAGGGTTGGGGCAGGTTTGTACCTCTAAGCGCAACTAATGAGAAATCCACCGATTTTTATAGCTGCATTGTTCGGCCATGGACCAACCTGTCTCTGACATGTTGTCATTAGCATGTTCTCAAGCATAAAATCACGCTGGAGTTGGGGCTTCGCCAACTTAAGCATGTGAGCCGATTTATGGACACTGGGAAATTACTTTTTAATTTTTGTATTTTTTTTATACCTTGAAAGTTGCATGAAATTCAGCAAAGGCTCTCAGATCCCCAGAGTGCATGCTGTCAGTGTGGGAATTTCAATAACCAGTGCAGTCCATTCAAGAAATAATAATATTGAACTTGGACCCATCTCATGCTTTGATTGGCTAATTTACTGCAGTTTTATTGGCGTAGGGGTGATTTGAGGAAAGTAGGGCTCTCATTACTTAAATGTTAATTTACAAAATAGAGCAAGAAGCCATCTGGTGACTGTCTGCCTGCCTGCCTGTCTATCTGTCTGTCTGTCTGTCTGTCTGCCCAGTCGTGTCTGTCTCTTTGTATAAATGTCCGTCAGCTGTCTCTCTTTGGTTAATGATGTTTCTCTGTCAGCTCTGCTGTCTTTCCTGTTCTTTGAAGATTGATCAAGCCGGCTAACCCAGTGCTCAACTCTTCTTTCCCCTCTCTCACCTTTCCCTTTTCCTTCTCTCCGTCTTTCTTTTATCTTTATGATGCCACGTTTTCTGCTGCGCTACCCAGTCTTGCCTCAAGGTTAGTACCGCACGCCTATCTTCCTTCCAAAGCCCCGTCTCCCTGCGTTTTTCTTTTTTCTTTTTTTCTTTTTCCTTCTTCATCTCTCTCCTTCATTGTCATACTGCGTGTCCTTGCATAGAGACACTCTTTCACTCTGTCATAAACTCCGCGTCTGATAATTCTCATCATGTCTTTCATGTTTTTGAAGGAGACACCTTGACTTGTTCTTCACTCTCTCTGTCACATCGCCGCCTTTTTGAACAGGAAACATTGTTGTTTCTTTCTCTCTCTCTGTTATATAACACCTGCCCTGGTCTCTTTAGCATTTACCATTGATTTTATCAAAAATAATAATAGAGATGTTCAGCCATTTTCTTTGTGGACAGGTTCTTATCTTGCCTTGTCTGTAGGTGTATCTAAGCTCACAACTACTATTTATTTTATTAAAACAGGTAAATTTATATTATTATATATATTTTAATATATTAAAAGTAGGTGTTTAGCTTTTCTTTTTTAGAGATACTTGAAAACATCCACATTAAGACTGATTGCTATGAGTTCTGCACAGCATGTAGTCCTCAAGTTAAAATGTTTTCTTTTTATTTTTCTGGTTAGAACATTCTGCTGCCTGATATTCATAAAAATACTGTAATATAACAGCATCGATTGCAGCTAAGAGCTAAAATTTTCTTTGACTTTTAGGGTCTTCCATCTCCTCTCCTGAGGTCACCATCTAATGACATTTCAGTATGTGATATCTGGGGTCTGAATACGCTCCTGTTTTACAGACATATCGAAATCCTATAAACTTTCTGACCTACACATTGCAATCAACCACATAATAACCACTTCTTCCTTCTGGTTTTTACATAAATCTCCTGTTCTGACTGTTTTGTGCGCTCAGACGTGTTGTTAAATATCCACAGTACCAGCCCTTCCTTTGCTGTTTCTTTTTTTTTTTTTTTTTTTTCCCCCCCAGCAACTTCTAACGCCATGAGTCCCCTGGCATCTTGTCTGCCTTTTCATTGCCGGTTTTCTGCAGCTTTGTGATTCCGCTACAGAAAAGGGGTGAAAAAAGCAAACAAAAAAGTTAGCACAATCTCACTTTCTGCTAGATGACGGAGAGAGTTTTTTTTTTCTTCCTCTCTTCTGTATTTTCTATTTCTTGTTTTGATCTGAGCTGAGAAACTCAGCAAACGTCTGACTTCAAGGTTTCCAGAGCTTAAAACGGGATTGCAGGGCTTCTCTTTGTTTGCGCGCTTGTATGCATGCGTGTGTGTGTGTGTGTGTGTGTGTTTGATCTAGTGGAGGTCCTGAGCGTTGAGGTTGTGCAGGGATTTGTCAGCTTTTGGATGACAGCAAGTATAGGCCCACTCACGCTATCACAAAGTAAGCATGGTGCTTTTCTTCTTCTCTTTTTTTTTTTTTTTTTTTGTTGTTTCGTGCTGCACACATGAACACATCTGAGAATGAATTTGGCAGCAATTAGCTGAAAACCCCAAAGCGCTGGAAACTACTGAGATTTAACTCATTAAATTCACTCACACTTTTAAAGAAAACGAAGAGGCTGTTGTTGGTTCAAAAATAAAAGTCTGCGGTGGAATTTACGCTGCTCATTGCTTCTATTTTTACTTTAATATTACAATGTAATCAACCTTTTCTTTGTGTGTGTGTGTGTGTGTGTGTGTGTTTTGCATGCAATTAGAAGTACTTTGTTGTTATTTAATGTTTGAAGTCAGAGCAGACTCCAGTCGTTTTGGTGTCCGAGGCAAGATTGCGATTTGCTGCGTAGAAAACCTGAATGTTCCTGTCTTTGTTCCCCGTGTAAACAATATTCACCACCAAATATGTTTTATTTCACAGCTTTGGGACGATAATCTAAAATAGTGAGGAACGTGTGAAGATCAAGTGCACAACAAAACTGTATTAAAAAGCGAAACTTTGTGGTTTTCTGTTTCTGTGCCGTTTTATTGGCACACGTGTCGACAGAGGCAGCAAATATTTCCTCAGTCCATCTGTCCAGAACAAATGTAGATTATATTTATCTGTTGCTGAACGATAAAAGCAAAACAAGAAGCCGAGACAGACTCCTTCATGACTTGAACATGACATTATGAAGATGAGAAAATGGATTTAGAAAGGAAAGGACAGAAATGGGATTTAATGAATGATTTAGAAATGTGTTGACTTAAAGATGCCAATCGTCTGCACAGTTATCAAACACTTGACTTTTGGGTTTTTATGATTTTTACCAGCTTCATTACAACACTCCTCCTGTGCTTGGTAGCAAGGTAAACTTGGATTTTTCCAGTCTCGTTAGTCACGGTTGCTTGATTGATATTTGGGGAAGTTGAGGAGAGCAAATGTTTTCTTGTAGATATTTCTCAACTTATAAAGATATATGGACAACTACCTTATGTTTATTTATCCTTCCCATTTTGCGTGATAACGTCAAACACACACGCGCACACACACACACACACAAACTGCTATATTTATACCCCAAAAAACCAGAAGAAAAGTCGTGAATTACTGAGTAGAAGTCACTGGAAAATCAGATAAACATAAAGTTTACATTTTAGAAATTGCTTTACTTAAATTCGTTTCAAGAGGATTGCAGGTTGCCAATGAATTCTTTGTTTTTGTTACTAAAATATATATATATTTTTAAGACTTCTCCCTTATTTTTACCAGGGGTGTCAATAAATGTGGCCAGCATTGCATGCACTAATTTATTTACTCCTAATATCTTTTCTACAGTCATTAATGAATTTATGTAGCAAGTTGTTTTCTTCTTCATCTTTAAATTTTTTTTTGTAAGGTTTATTACCACACTATATAGTTGGTAAGATGTTTCTATTATGCTTTGAATCATGGTTTTTAATCTTCTTTTTCTATAACAAGAAACCCAAATTCATATTTTCCTCCTTTTTTTTTCTTTTTCCAAAGGAAGTACCGAGTTCCCTGCGGTTAAAAGGAAATGCTTGATGTTAATTTTGGGCGAACTACTAGCAGTAAACATACATGAGGCCCACAAGCATTTTTTGATCAAATATTTATACAGGAGTCCAAATGTAATATTAATATCACCTTTATGTGGCTGCCCGGGTACGAGCAGCATGCTAATGAGGGCGGTTGGAAAGTTTGCTGAAATTTCTCTGATTGCACGTGTGTTTTCCTGCTAATTAAAAGCAATAATCTGTATTTTTCACTGCCATGAAGTTTAGTGTTGTTTTTTTTCTTTTTATGTTCTCTGTATTCGTTTGCAACGAGTCCAAAAGTGTCTTTTTGTGTTTCGGAGGGATTTGGATCCAAAAAAAACTAAAGACGGTTAACAAGTATACCAGTGTGGGTTAATCTTAGCACATGTTATA